AGCCGGAGAGGGAACGGTGCTCACTCCGTGTCTCAACGCACAAAATAAAACATTTGGAATGCTCCTCGTGATGAGGAGAACTAGCCTGCTGGAGGGGCGGGGGGGAATATGTACTATTAAAACATTGCTCCACGTACTGAAATTTAGCTTAAATAAAGATACAGAGCTGCAATACAATTCCAATTATGTGCCCGTGATGTGGGTTTAATGGATATGGGCATTTCACAGACAGTGCGCGCACTACGCATTACTGTGCTCGTGGTAATTATCCCTTTTTCTTTTTAAGCAGCACATAAAATAGTCACGTAAAGCTTGTGTAAATGTCACACAGGAAAGTTAGGACTCTTCAGGGCAACTGTGTCTTAATCCGCTCCTGTTTTTGGAAAAGCCTCCGCTCCTCCCTGCTACAGGTAGCTATGGCACTCACTATGTCCTGCGCGCTCGGACGCGTCACCTTCTCCAGCTTCGTGAAAAATAAAAAAGAGAATGAGCAGGCGATCGGGAATGACAGGTCCCAATAAAGTTTCTAAGTAGAGCTTGAAGGTTGCCACATGGCCACAAAGTAAAAGTAGTGAATTGTATTAAATAATCAAGCCTTTCTATCCATTAATTAGTTGAAATAAAGCCACCATTTACCACCTGCTTCATCATTCTTTTTCTCATCTGGCAACGAGGCTTTTATTTAGTCACTTTGATCAAAGCCTGTGAAGTGCCTTTATCTAGGCACTTCAGATAAAACTGCTAGCAGAAAGGCTACCCCTAAATACTTGATATTGTCCAGCCAGTGCTGGCCATGCAAGTGGTGAGCGGAGCTGCCGGGGGGACCCTGCGCCGCAGGGGCTGTGCATGCTCCTGGGGTAAGTGCCCAGTACCCACCCCAACAGAGAGCTCCAGGAGCTCACGGGATCCCGAACAATTGCAGAATTCGGGTATGGGTTTTTTTCCAGCAGCTACGGAGCCAGGGCATGGCAGCAACAAATAGGGGGTGGCAGCTCAAGGGCTGGAGTTTTAGGGGTAAAGAGTTTGGATGCGCAGATTCTTGCTATATCCTGACTCCTCCCCACCATTTTTGGATAGTTTCTATATTAACCGTTTGTTACTGGTTACAACAGCAAAGCAAAAAGCAGTTCCCATCCCATACCTCTGGCAGAATATACTCCAGGCAACGCCACAGTTTATCGATTACTGTGTGTCTTTCGGTGTAAGGGGAACATAACTGCGTCTTACCAGGACAGAGCTGGTGACGACAGGCGTGCAATTGGTAACGAATGGCCCTGCCCCGTGGAGGGACCACACACAGTAACGATAAGATGGTCAGCTCTGAATGAGCGCCTGGATGAAGGGGACGACAAGAGGTGAATCTTGAGCATGACAGGGCAACCTCAACCTTCCCTTTTTTTATAGGGCGGAGAATGATATCCCTTCTCCTCTCCCACCCCCCTTCCTCTTTCATCAATGTCCTCTAGATGCAATTCTTCAAAACAGCTTTTGACAAAACAAGAGGAAAAGGTCACAGCAGTTAACATCCTCCTCAACATGATCCTGTTGGAAGCAATGCACTTTTAAAAATTCCAAGATTAATTACTTCAGCTTCAAATTCCCTCGCTTAAAATTATGTGTCATGCTAAAAAATATATCTACAGTAGCCATCCTACAACGGGCTTCTTGGCCATGCTTGGCTCAGTGAAGACCTGAAGGTTTGTGCTCAGAAGAAAACACTTAAAATATGTTTAAAACACACTGAAAATACCGTTTTACTGAAAGTTATTGCTACGACCAAGAATAAGAAGCATATTTGCAACTAAAAGGCTGAAGACCTCTAAGGTCTTGATAAAGAAATGCTGAGACCCCAGAGGGTTCCTCTGAAGGTCAGCGTGACAGAAACAACCGGAGACAAAGGGAGGGAAGACAGCTTGCCATGACATAGTGGCAAGGTCTGGAGAAAAACTCCAAGCCCATCTGCACAGTTCCCTGCTGCAGGTTGTATCCTTGCCTGTTTAAAATTAAATGACGTTTAGCTAAAATCTGTACGGAGTCCATTACAGCGTCCACTTCCACAGGTGCCTGCAGCACTGGTGAAAGCAGGGGTTCTGCATGCCGGAGGCTTGCGCCTGCCGGGCTCCAGGCACACCAGGTTCCCCTCTACAACCTGCAAAAACCTCACTGAAGATTTGTATCTTGTTCCTCAAATCACCTCATGACCACAGGTACAGCACATTCCTAAAACACTATACAGCGGACTGTCTAGGTATCCTTTATACAGAGCGTTGTTTTGGAGGGAGGAAGAACGAGGAAAGAGAATCAGATCTCTCTCCAGTGTTTACAATAAGGAAATTTTTCCACAATTGCACATATTTCAAGTTAGTGCCACCATACTAAAATGTGCCCTTCTTGCAACTATACTGAAAGCCACAAACGATAAGGACTTAATGCATATTTTGAAAAGTACGCTCATCCCATATAACACGTCTGTAGACGTGCTAGAGTCCACTCGTGCCCATACCAGACTAACCGGTAAGTTCAATTTTGCAACCGTAAGGCCGGGGCAGCATTTGACCCCCTCTCCCTATCGATTACAGTAAAAAGAGCAATAGAAAATACATTAGTAGTATAACAGTGATGTTAAAAATACATACCAGTATATCCAGGCAGGCTGCTTTAAGTAGAGTTATCTGGTCTGCAATGGTCAAACTTGTGAAGCCTGGCAATCGCTTTGCAAATTCCACTATTTTAATAATGCACTTTGTTGCAAGTTCACTGAATTTGTCCCAGAGCCCCAGGTCCAGTCGAACCCGATGATCTGCGCTGGAGTTCTGGAAAGACAGGCAGAAGACACCATAAATCAACAACATCCCTTTCAGTAAACGGTTTTCAAGGGAAATAAACAACAACCGAGTATTCCTTCCAGAAGTACTTTCTATTAACATTCCAGGCATTTTCTGCAGCTTGCTGTTGGGATGATGCTGGTTTTAAACTTGGATTAATTGCCTGAAAATTCCTTGGATATTTCTCCGTTACTTACGATTGCAGAGGCCATCTGTACAAGGAATACAAATGAACTTAAACATTTCCAAATGCCACTATCATTATTCTTCCTTGCCATTATATAATAAGTGCATTGAGAGAGACAATTTACAGTTGTACCCCAGAAAATATAAATGAACAGTGGAACAACAAGTATCGGGTCCTCATCTGGAAGAAGCAGCACAATATTTGGAACATAGTTTCACATACTTAAGGTCTTAGCAAATTAGTTCTACTTAATTTATCTGCTCTGTGGCTCTGCAAGAGTTTTACAGCTTTCTCAAGCTACAGTCTCCCATGAATTAAAGAGCATTTCTTTACATGACGTTAGGAAAAACCCCGCGTGCGCTGATGAATGCAATATGCTCATTTGATGGTGCATCCAACATACACCCTACTGTTTGAAGTGTTACAAGGACATTCCAGCTGCATCTTTCAGAGACTGTTTCCATATATTCATGTATCTGAATCCAAAAGTCCGTAATTTGCTAGGATGCATAGCAAATCTGTCTTAAGTTTGTGATTAAACTCATGTTTTCATACATTCAGAATAACCACTTAACCCTTGAAAAACCCTTAAACATGTCAGCCAAGAACCGGCTGATTCAAAAGTTACTGTGATCTATCTGGCGCTAGTCCAACAGAAGATGGGGGCATGGGGAGACCTGGTGAGTCGTTTCCAACCCACCCGTGATTCCTGCGGGGTGACAAGAAGCAGATAACTACAGAGCTCCGAAATACCCAAGGCCCCTCTCCTCCTTCCCTAGCATGCAGCATGTTCCCACTTTGCCAGCATTTGATCCAATGTAGTTTGGGATGCAGCCAGCGCGATGGTCCCCCCCACTATTTCATGAGCCACCAAATTTAGCGTGCGTTACAGCTGCCTTCGGCACCTTGGCGATCTCCACTGCGAGAGGAATTTTACCTGTAAAAGTACGCCGGTTTTGAATTTGCAAAAGGTGCTGAGCTGCAACCATGGAAAACCGAAGGCAAAAGGCAAAACCAAAACTCTCTTCCACATCTCATCTGAGCTTGTTGACTAACCAAGGAGAGCGGCATCTCCAAAAAAAGGCCCACCCACTCCAGACAAGTAGGTAAGGCAGGCAAGGGAAAACCCCCTCAGGTGGCAGCTTTCTCCCCAGCTGCAAGGGAAGCCCATGAGATTTCCTGCCTTAGTCTTAGCTGGTTGAAGTTAAAATGTTAAATTAACTCTAAAATTAAAGTTAAATGAGAGGAGTCTCAACCTAAAAGTCTAACAGACATGGCAGATAAATAGGCATCGAAAAGCATTCAGTTTACACAGATCACACTTTCTTGGAGGAAACATCTCTAGCGACCCTGCCACCATCACTGCTGATGGTGAGGACATCCACCTCCTTGGAAATCTTTGAAGCCATCAGCTTTCTTCGGTTCACGGGAAGGACACAGGGCCTGAAGAGGTTGACGAGGGGACGTGGGGTGAGCCCAGCTTGGCTGTGATGCTCCCGTCACCCCCTCCCGGGGCTGCCTTAGCAGATGCCACGACCACCGTCAGTCACGAAGGGGAAAGTCCTGACAGGTCCTACGCGCACCGCCAGCCTGACATTCACCCTCACTTCCAACAGGGTGGAGATTCGAGCCAGTAATATTTATATTAGGCCCTTACTACAAAAAGTAAATGCTAACCATGCTGAACAGTTTGAAGGTGCATACGTGCTCTTCCCTGCTCCCCCTCTTTTTAAGTGATAAGAAATTAACCTCATCATTTCTATTTGAATTTTTGTTCTGGGAACTTCCTCTATTTTGTTTTTTTAAATGACAGCAGAAAAGATAGGAGAAAATGTCTTTATAATCCTGAACCTAAAGAATTGCCTTCAAAATGGTCCAAAACTAATGGGTTAACAGTCATTGTAATGCCCTTTGAAACATTTCTTTCGGCTACTGGAGTATGCATCCTTCAGATTTATTTTATTTCATCCTCAAGGACCTTGGTGAAATACAGTACATTGGAGAAAAAATAAGATCAAGATGTGCAGTCATTCAGACTGTAATTAAATTTAATAGGCAGTTTATCCAGTTCATAGAAAGATGGCATAGCGGAGAGCTACACAAAGCAGAGCCTAAAGCAGGAAATCATTTTACAATAGGGTATCCATCTGGAAAAAAAGACGTTGCATGAAACCAGCAAGTGTGAACGAAATCTTCATCAGTATCATATGAGGTTACTTTATCATGCTGCAGTACCGGCAACGGGAAGTTTGACGTGTCTTCTATTAAGAGTAATGCACGGCCGTCTTAACAAATGTAAATCTAACTCACTATTATGCAAACTGAAGAGAAGGGGCAGTTAATAAAATACAAAATAACCGGGTGTTTTATTACGCTGGGTGCCAGATTCCTCAGCGTTGGAGCTAATGTGGTTTACACATTATCTTTGAGATGCTACAAATGGAAAGACTTTTAACATTTTATTTGGTAATGAATGTAGTCGCAGGCGTCATGGAAAATACCTAGATTTTTAGCAGCATTTCTGAATACATAAAACCAAAACTGACTAAACTGACTCGATATCAATGTATAGGTTGAACAGTAAAATACGGGGTTAATAAAATGCACGTTAGAAACAGAAACTCTGATTAAATTTGCCTGGGGATCTCCTCTAACCATGCTGTGAAAAAGATGCAGACGCTATGACTTTTTCTGAATATTTTACTGAAGCAGTTTTTTGGGTGTCTTTTCCAGGAGCAGCCTTGCATGTTTTTCAGGCCTTTGCACCAGCGCACATATGGTGGAACAATACTGTAATACACCCTAGTGGCATCTTTATCAGTGGAAAAGCCCAACCTTGCTATGAAATCCAATTAAACAGCCATTTTTGCCACATAAATTGATCCCATTTTTTCCATCATTTTTGTTTTTTCATTGCAGTCTGCTCTATCTCCACATTAACGATACGGGATGAGGTACTCGCAGAAACATACACAGTAGCAGAATCCCTACCGTCTTTAAAATCCACTTTACAGAGGAAACAAGGCTCACAGGGGCACTCTGCCCTAATCAGGAACACTTGCTATGCCTCTTCAGTAGACGCAGCAACGCACTCCAGCTCCGGCGAGCTTCACCGAGGACCAGAGCGCGTGCCTCTGCTCTGTCCCAGCATCAGGAGAGAGGAGGGGAGAGAGAGAGATATTCCTCTGCAATGGCACAGAACAATAGCCGTGTAACTTCTAAGCCCAGCACTTACAAAGGACAAAATGCCGCCAAGATGCAAAAAATCTCTGCTTCCAGCCAGCCAAGAGCAACCCGGGAGAACCCACAGCAAGGGCCCACCGAGTCAAAATTATTTTCTGTTTTATCCTCCCTTTATCACGAGGCTGGATGTAACACAGCTGTAGACTTACAAATAATACCAGTCTCGAGGGACGAGCAGTATAGTTACACTCAATTATACTATAAAGTATGACATCTCCAGAGAAATTACTAAGGCACTCTCTCTTACCTGGATGACAGTAATAAAACAGATCTATTTATGATGGACTTTTGAAATCCATTACGTTTAAACAGCTTGCTGATTCTCATCATCGGCAGAACTATACTTGCCACTGCCCACCAAATGCAACTGTTAAGTCAAATGACCCAGGGAATTTAATACGAGTGCTATTCTCCCATTATTTTAAGTAGACTTTTATTAACTATGCAAAGTACGGTAATTATTACAGATAGGGACACTTTTTCTTTTTAAAGAGCAGATGGATATAAAAAAACATAATTGAAAATGCTTCTCCCAAACCATTTCTGAACAAGTAAAAATACACAACGGGAGAAAAAAAATCACCATGTAACCTTTCCTTCTGGGAAATACAGGCTGCAGTGCTCAAGAGTGAGAGGAGCCAGATACGCAAGCCAAACATCTGAACAGATTTTTTTTATGACTGTATCTCTGCAAGGTCTTTTTTACTCCACTCTCCTACACTTAAAATTCTTTGCTCTTTTTAGCAACAAACAAAATCATGTTTTAAATCAGTCTGAACGATCACGTAACCAAAGGTGCACAGAGGCCACGTTTGCAGAACAGTTTGTTCCATCCACCGTTTCTATCAGTATGCAAGTGCAAAGCTCATGAAATTCAAGTGAATCCACATCGATTCAATACAGTCACTTCTCACCTCTCGCTTAAAGAATTAAATAAAAAACTCTAAGGTTACAAAAGCAATCTGTGGGCTCTGCAGTGTAAGCATGCCATGTTTCATGTCTGCTAGCCTGTAGAACTGGGCATAAAAGCAGGACTGGTGGCAATCTTCTACCCATACCAGCTTGCTACTATCGAGAAAAGTAGCGTGGAGTAGGCTTCTACCTCCCTTTGGAGTCATCATTTAGAAAAAGGGCTGTGTGCTCCTTTTTTTTGACTTCTGGTCTCTATTTCAAGTGTCTCAAAAGGAAAGATTATTGCCTGAGGCCTGCCATTTGATCATCAGCTGGCGGTGGTGTCCAAGCACCGAAGCTGTGCTCCTCCGACCAGCACGCACACCTTCTGCCTCCTGGATCCTCCTAGATCCTCCACCACTGCAGAAGGGCTTCTCCCCCACTCCTGGGATGATGGGCAGCTGGAGATGAAGATGACCCATACTCCAGCCCCAGCAGTACTGAGGAATATTCTTAATCGCCGAGGTTTTCACCCAGTGCAGGCAATGGGGGGAGTGCTGCACTCTGTCCCTTCTAAAGCTGGGCAGAGACAGCATTCACAAAAATGAGCTCTTATACTGAATTCCTACCTAAAAAGCCAGAGTGGTCACCAGACCGTAGCTAGATGAGAGATTTAAATATCCGCATTTCACACAGAGACTATGGGAATGCAGCAAAATGACAGTTAGTATTTAGCATCGCTGCTACTAGTTTTAACACAGCTGCTAAGGAAGCTGTATCGCTTTCAAGGATTCAAGGTAAGCCCGAAATCACTCTTTCAGTATAATTTTGTTATTGCAACTTGTATAGCACCAAACCATGACAAAGTGGCAGGGACTTCAGCCACGTGCAGCTAACTGCTGTGGACTTCCAACAGACCAACGACAAACCCAAGAAATCTCTTTCCCCAAGCTGTCCGATCTGGCCCGAGATATGCATGACCAATATCCAGCCTCAGAGAGAGTGCAGTCAGGCCATGGTTACTTGGGACCCATAGACAGACCAGATTCATCTGTACATGACTTGGATCCAGGTGCTCTCAGTAAGGGCTCTGAAATCCCAACAGGGATGTAAACTCACCATGGGGGTCAGCAGGAACCCAAGGGCAAAGGCATCAGTGGCGGGTGTGATATGCAACAAGAGCCTCTCCAATTCCATCCACTTGTATCATTTCAAGAGCTAAAATATTAATGGTACTTAAGCATCCAATACATAATGCAAGCACATAGGTGCCCAGGTTTATCTTTCAACCCTCCAGGATCTTTACCAGTACGAAGTACCATCACACCAGCTGCAGTGCACTCTTCAGACTCAGAGGTAATACAAAAGTACGTACCAACACGTTCACGTTGGGAGGTGTACCGATATATTGTTATTCTGGGATAGCCAGGCCATTTGCAAGGCAGCCTGCGAGCAATAAATTCTGGCATGTATACCAGCAGTCTGGCTACGCATGTCCCAGCTGCGGACATGCGATCACCTCTTCTGCAAGGCATAAACTCATTGTTTTGAACTGGGAAGGTTTTTTTCACACTCGTTCAGAAGCGCTCTGATGTTTGCAGAAGTGTGGGAGTCTGTTTGGAAGATTTTATTCACTCCAAGACGAGGATGCAACCACACGTGCTGTGGGGAGGAGTGGAGGGCATTAACCCAGGAATTTCCTTGAAAAGACACACTATGGATCCCACCATCTCTGGCTTTGCCGTCGCTTCTGTCACCAGCCGGCAGCTTTCAAGCTTCCAGCCTCGCACGCTGCGCTAGTCCCCGGGGGTCTGCCTGCGCTTGCCTGCTACAGCAATATTTACTAGCACGCCTACGCTGACTGTTTTGACTACATCTCACCCGAGCAGGCACCTTCCCCAGTACTAACCATTTTATGCGGGTCTCAAAATTAAATGTGACAAAAGTTTGTGAAAATACTTACAGCAACACGAAAAACGTGCTTTTTTCTAACATCACTCCATGTATGCTTGCTTTTCTTGCACTTAAATACAAAGTATTACCCCTAGACCTGAGAGTTTTGAACCTTGCACTTTGTAAATAAATGAGTATGCCATAAACCAGTGAATATTGATGCCACAGAGGGATTTGCCTAGATTACTCTCTGAGAAATTTAACATTTGTTTCAGTAGCAGAGCATTTACACAAAACAAAGAGCAATCCAGTGAGAGAGGTATTTCACCTGGCCTCTAGGGCTTGGTCCCAGCTCTCCAGCTGGGGAACCGTGGAGGCCAAGGACCGTGGAGGCAGGTGCCTCCTTGCCCCAGCCACGCCGCTCCGGAACTCCCAGCTCCGGCAGCGAGAGCGCACGCTTGACCACTTCAGGACCTTCTGCACATCCCTCTGAAACAGCCAGTGCTGCTACAACCGAGAGCAAGACCAGACCAGCGGTGTCATTCCTCTGCCAACAGGACTCTAAACATTACCTAACATTTATTTTTAAGCATCTGGTTTATTAGTGCATTTGCAACTTGACATTGAATTTTCTCTCTGAAATCAATATACATCACTGACCTCCCCTGTACTTAGCAACATATATATGTATAGAAAAGACTTATTTTCCTGACTCATCCACTGAAGAAATTTCCACAGTACTGAACTTCTTGACGGGGGGACTGATTTTTCATTTCTAAAAACAGCAAAAGTGTTTGCTGCTTTGTGGTATTTTGGTAGACTGGGAGAGGAATAAACTGCAAGTGAGCATTTTGGAAACCTGTTTGTTTAGACATTTCATATTTTCCTTGACCTTGGTAGCTTTGGGACTGTCACCAGTAATCCAGCAGCACTTAAGAACTCTCTCCACCTGCAAAGTTGTAATCCACTGACGCACAAGCAGACATCATGTCTTTGGGAGCCAACAAATTTCTAGTGAATGATGGCATGTACTTGACTCATGGACTCCAAGCTTGCCTCTTGGCTGGATTAATCCTTCAGACAGTCTCTCACAATGCCGCTAAGTGATGCTTACAGTTAAGTGCAATTTCTCTTCTTCAGCATGTATTTGCATGCATACCTGTGTTTTTTCATGACTAAGGAGGTACAAAGGGTGCATCTACTTCTGCACCTATTTAAAACGTCTGAAGCCTCCAATGCAAAACCTCTCATCGTCCAGGCATATCCAGAATGTATGTGTCACAAACCATACTTACCGTAGTGTATTTACCCAGCTGGCAGAGCGAGGGGAAGGTTTCCTGGTGAGCTTTTCGGATCTTCTCAGTGAGATCATCCAACTCTGCTGTCATTTCATAGTTTTCTGTGGACTCCTGCTTTGAAGGTTCCTTCTTCTTTTTGTTCCTATCATTTCTGACAGCTACAGAAAAAGCAGAGACACAGATCACATGTGGTTATTCAGATCACCCCATGTTGCTCTCGCCGCTCTTTCAAAACACTGTAAAACGCTTTTATTTTAAACATAAATTATTTTAAGTGGAGATAGAAATGTTAGATGCACAGAGAAAACTAACGCAAGCTTAATTGCTCAACTGTAAGAATTAAATTTAATGGGATAATGATGAAACCAAACTTCCATAGGTGCTCATTGCGGATGTGCCATCACACTCCCGTAGTATCTATCTTCCAAGAAAGTCTACTGCAACTTCACATGCATTTTAAGTGTCTCAGTAACTCTGTGAGGTGGGATTTTTTTCATTGTATCATTACAGCTGTGCATGGTGAATGGTGAAGTCCTCCGCAGTGATGCAATTGCTATTTTATTGGATATGAACAACACTAAAGAAAGATAGCAACTGCCTCTCTTAAATTTCACAGTATGGAAGATAACAAAACCCATACTAATACAAACTCCACCAAGCAAAAGTTATTTAAAGGGAAAGTTAAATTTGAAAACAGTAAATGAAACAAGATGAAACACATTAAACTCAAGATCTGAAGATCAAAGGAGAAGCACAAACACTTGAAAAGAGTAAAAATGGCAATGAAGCTATCTAAAGTTGCTTGCCATCTGCTCCTGCACTCAGATCAGCCTTCTACCTTCCCCCGGCCTTCGGGGATTACTGGAAATATGCATTGTGCGGCACTCGTGCTCTAATTGATTTCCCACATATTTGTGTTTTGTAATAAAATATGACAGCTGCTCCATCACCATGTTACTCTTTGTTCTTTTAATGAAAATAGCTTAATTTTACAAAACATGCCCAGGAGATAAGTCTATGTCCGCAGTATTGCCAGTACTCGTGAGTTTCATCAAGAGGCTTGTTGTTTGCTAAAGCTTACATCTTAAGTGTAACCAGATGCGTAAGGCTTTACAACAAAGCCAAACAAAACCAATTCCTCTCCCCAAAGGCTCCGTGTCCATATTAAACACCCCAAAGACTAAATGCTGTCGGACAGATAAAAACCAATCCTAACATTCACCGGTGTTCAAAACCTCAGGATATTTAAACCAGTGGCCTGAACTCTGAGGGTGCGGCTGGTGGGTTTGGCACACGTGAGGATGGATTTTGGATGGCCAAAGATCTGCCGATTCTCATTTGCAGTGTCCCACCCCAGAAAGCGCATCTATCTGTGCCGTAGGGAGGGAAGCACAGCAAAACGCGGAGATGCCCAGAGCCACCTCCATGCTAGCTCTTTTCCCTCATGGGTTCCCCAGGCCCATCTCCACCTCTTCTGTGGTTGCCTCCTATGAGCCCGTGAACCACAAATGATCGCAAAGAGCAGACACATGGTGAACGTTTCAGGAGGAGGAGGCGCTTTCAATCCAGTCTCACCTACAGCATCTGTTCAAGAACGAATGACACGCAGTTGAATTCATTTTCCTCTGGGTGTCATTTCTGAGAGAAAATTAAGAGTGACATGGGAAAATGGCTGGGAAAGCAGGAGAGTCAGGGGCATTGTCCTGCTTTTGGCTGGGATAGAGTTAATTTTCTTCCTAGTAGCAGGCATAGTGCTGTGTTTTGGATTTAGTAGGAGAAGAATGTTGGTAACACGCTGATGTTTTTAGTTGTTGCTAAGTACTGCTCATGCTAGTCAAGGACTTTTCAGCTTCCCATGCTCTGCCAGGTGCACAAGAAACTGGGCGGGGGCACAGCCAGAATAGTTGATCCAAACTGGCCAAAGGGCTATTCCATACCATATGACGTCATGCTCAGTATAGAAACTGGGGGCGTTGGCCAGGGAGCAGCGATCGCTGCTCGGGAACTGTCTGGGTATCGGTCGGCGGGTGGTGAGCAATTATTGCATTGTGCATCACTTGCTTTGTATATTATTATTATTGTTATTATCATTATTATATTGTTATTATCATCATTACTATTTTACTTTATTTCGATTATTAAACTGTTCTTATCTCATCCCAGGAGTGTTTCTCACTCTTACTCCTCCGATTCTCTCCCCCATCCCATCGGGGCAGGGGGAGGGAGCGAGCGGCTGCGTGGTGCTGAGTTGCTGCCTGGGGCTAAACCACGACAGGCATCTACAGAAATAATGTAACACATGTAACAGAAAACAAGGGGTAGATGCAGTGAATATTGTTGCTCCTTTATGAGGCGATCAGGCACATACTCCATGTGACGAATGGCTCTGGTTTTCTCACTAAAGGTTTGACTTTGCAACTGAGAGAACTCTGACCCTGTTCCAGCAGATATTTTAAGGATGAACTTGACTTCAACTGTGTGAACAGACCCACACTGAAGTCAATTATGTGCTTTGCTGGATCAGGGCTGGGACGCTGAGTACCCCGCTGGATTAAAGCCTAACCTCGAACACCATCAATTCCGGTGTCTGGAGTAACAGAGACTCAAAGAAAGCCAAGAAAGTTGGACAGAAAAGGTACCTTCCTGTGAAGGTTCAGTGCTACCAGTGTAGTCAGGTTTAGGGAGGGTTTGGATCCCCCGCCCCCTGCTTCCTTTTACAAATATTCCCCTAAAGCCAATGCCTCGATTTGTTCACTGGACCCCAGGGCAGAGCGCAAGCACGGTCTCTTGCATTGAAAAAACACCCGGGACCGACATGTACGTCTCGAGTGCTCCGAACTGCCACTGCACTCCAGAAATAAATCCTAGTCACCGCTGTACTTGGGAGATAAAGGAGCTCCTTAGAAAATTATGTGAACTCCTACACAACCGCAAAGAGCAATAAGTCTTTGTAATAAAGGCCCATTTACTTATAGCTCTACAAGCTGATTGACAAATTTGCCAAACAGGCGGCCACAGCAACTACTTATCTCAATAGCTTTGAACTCCTCGTGGAACACAAACACGTTATTTAGGCCAGGCTTCGGAGCAGCTGCCAAGAGCTCCCAGAGACCAGGAGATAACTCCGGCAGGAACCACGCCACTGCTCCTGTGCTACCCCACCACACAGCTCCCTGTACCTGAAGTCCCTTCCCCTCCAAAGCCCACCACAGACACAGCTGCTGGTCAGCCCACATCGCCAAGCTGGCCCAGCTCTGTCCTCTTTCTTCTCAGGCACAAATCAGTGAAGGGTAGGAAGGGGAGAATTAACACGTCCTGAAAACTAAGAACAAATTTTGTTCACCGTTACCTTTTTTCTACGATTCTGATAGCCTTTGTAATAATGATAAAACCTGAATAACATTTATCTTCTTGCTTTATGTATACTTTTTATATTTGTTACATTTGTCTTTGCTAAGGCTGCATCAGACACAGCAGTGTTCCTATATTCCCTGTAAGATAACACAATAAAGTGCTGACATATAACACCCAGGCTCCGAAAAATATAAAGAATTTCAATAACACTGAACTATTACGCAGATTCAACTGCAACTATAATTCAACACCAAAAAAAAGAGATAAAAAGATTAAGACAATGCTATGTTTAAGAGAGTTAAATAAAAACATATAAACACACGCATTTACCCAGTAAATTTAAAAGCCGTCACTGCTCCGGGAACAGGAACTGTCACACCGCATGTAGGAAGGGGTTTGGATTACAGCTTATGCTTATATTACATAAATCACACCTTTTTGTATCTTGATCTTTACATGCATATGATCACATCAATCCCCAATGCAATTCCACTGCCTTTTAATGATGATACGCTGGTGATGAATCTGTGTCACAGTTAATGCTACCGTAGAAAACTCAGGTTATGAATTTCATTACTTGTGCACTAAATTCTGACTCGATGGCTGCATTATTTAAGAGCTCCCGACAGGGGACAGTATGGAAGCTCTCTTGCCCCGTGAGAAACTGGAAGTTAAAAAACTGAAAAAAACAAATAAGGTGGTGGTGGTGGGGGAAGAGGTTGAAAAGAGATGTATCTCGGTATGTGAGGAAGCCACGTCCGCGCGAGTCTCGGCGCTGCTCGGGCGGCTGAGCGACGCACGCCCACGCCTGAGCAGGTCTGCTCCGATCCATCTTCCCGAGACAGCTTCCCTGTCCCCTCGACACACACGCCGCGACTTGCATTTCCACACCCAGAAACCTCCAGGCAGCCGCGGCAGGGTTCATAAGCTAGCGAAGGCACTTTCTGCTGCCTTAGCTTGAAGGACCAGCCCCTACCCTCAAACGTTCACCCCCCTAATCTGATGACAGAGGGGCTGAACATCAACTCTTGTACCATCCAGTCTGTTCTCCTCACCCTCGGTTTGTTACTGCTTTCCTTAGCCTCAGACACATTTTCCCCTCTTCTGCTTGAGGCGATGGGCAGGGCATGAAAGCCGCAGGAGGGAAGGATGCATTTTTCAAGAAAAGCAGGGCCTGCTGTGGATGAAACTAAGTATAGGAAAGACACAAACAGCTTCTCTCGGAGGACCCCAGCGCTCTCATTTAGCAACCACACAGCAATTCTCCTGCTTGAGCGGGATCATTTCAAGCATGTTGTAATGCTGGGAATTGTCCAGTCTTAAATGCAAGCCCCTCAGGTCCACCAAAATTAGTCACCTAAGAAGAGTCTGGGATCCAGCCCAAGAGAGTTAGGCAGTTACTAGATAATCAGGTAAAATTATGGAATAGCGAGTGTTCGTACTCCCCTTTGTCGAAGGTGGCACAAACCTGTCGAGGAGAGAAGAACCTGCAGCTCGCAACACAGTTATTTCCAATTACTCGCATAACCTTTGCTTCCCCAGATGCCCAGAAGATAGTTAGACAGCACCTTTCATATATTATAATGATTAATCAGCTATAAATTCATGACTTGACATGACTGCTATCATTGCAGTTTTGCCTCTCAGAGATCCCTGCGACCTTTGAAGAGCTTTGTGTACTAGTTAACTGGTTTTGTTCCTGTAGCGACAACTACTAGCGTTTCCAGTTAGTTTGCATTCCTGTAAAACCACACTTCTCTTGTCATTAAATATTTTGGAAGTTACTTGTTAAGCTAACAAATCT